GGGGGGGGGGGGGAGTGGGATGGGAAGGGGTCATTTATACAGGTGATTGTCTTGGACAGATGGTCATAAGAGCAGATTCGACTATAGTCACATCTATTCCTTAGACTATTTGTATAATTACCTGAGATCTTTCGACAGAAACACGCCGTTGGGCTGCTTAAGGCCTGGGGTCACCTGCGTAAAGCCCGTGCCATTGTAGTAGAGAACTCCTCCTAAAGGCAGCTGAAACAGACCCTCAACAACAGTCAAAAAATGGTTATTAAAATAGTTGAAGTTGGTAATGTAGAACTTGTCCTCCTCCAAAACTGCAAGATCGTTTGTAATCTTCATTAGTTTACTCGTGATTGACTTGAGATGAACGAGCTCGTTCGTCTTCGGATTATATCGGAACTTTTCGACAGCGTCCGGTTCGGGAATGGGGTGGTTCACAACGTAGACAAGGTGTTCTCCTTTCGCTTTGTCTTCCAGCACGCTGATCCCATGGGGTTTGAACTTTGCTAGATCCAGAGTTTCATTGGGCTTGATTTTCAGCTCCACTGCGCCTTTTTTCGGGTTCCTGAAGTTATAGATGAGTATGCGCCCCTTGATGTTGTTTATCTTATGGAATTCGAGGAAACTAGAGGGCGCAGACGCGAATGCAAGACCGGATGTTATGAATGCAAGACCCGCTGACGTCACATGGAAGTCCTCAGAACCGGGGCCAGCAGTCTCAATGACTCTGTGGATAGACAAAACCCATGATTGTGGACATGTATAATTATATCTAAAGTAACAGGTTGTTATACAGATAAACAAACAGGCAAGGGAAAAATAAGTTTAAATATAAAGACAAGCCCATTAGCACAGAGAAACTATCGTGATGTTGAGAACTTGAGCTAACAAAACAATGGACAGACAGGAAACGGGCTTTTTATCTCTGGTTTCCTGTCTGTCCGTTTTATTTGTTAGTTTCCGTTTTCAACATCACGGCTTTCTCTGTGCTGATGGACTTGTTTTTAAGTTTAAGCTTATTTTTCCCTTTCCCAAGCCAAACTGATTGACGTCATCTGATTCGTAAAACGTTGCACAGTTGATATGTTAGCAACACTCAACACACAGTTATGATAAGGTTAGCGTTGTAGTTGGTAGACTGTACACTGTTACTTCTATTGTAGCGATTCACTCCCTCCTTAGAGTATTACCGAAATCCTACACGTCAAAAGTAGGTTCAGGACAGTAATCAGAATCTTGTTATTAAGTACACCACAGTGATATCATAAGCGTCCACCTTTGCAAATAGTATAGTAGGAACAGTTATATGAGTGTTGATGATGTTGTGATGCTGATGATGTTGCTGACGATGATGAGGTTGATAGTGTTATGGCTTGGATGTGAACAAAGAACATATTGCTTGATTAGAACAAAAATATTCCTAAAAGCGGAAAGAGAAAGAAACACTTTACATTTCAGAATAGTGTTTCTTGGAGTTAATGTTAGTCCTCTTTAGATTTAAACTTGTGATCATGAACACGTAGGGCTTCTTTAGCATCTTAAAATCTACTGTTTGTTAAGATCTATGGTGTAACAGCAAATCACCGAAACAAAAAGGCGCATCTACACGATAGCAGTCAATATGGTGCAGTGAAACAGCAGGATTTTCTCGTAGATGCAAACCGGTAAAGAGGAGAAGAAGGATCTAACATCGTTGCCCTCTAACAGCCTGTGTGTTTTTATGAGAATAGTTAACTTATCTAGAGAAATTACAGCTGTTTGGAAGGACAGATAGAAAGAAGAGCAGGGGAAGACCAAAACCAGCATACACAGATGGCCTGAATAACTTTGCAGCGAATTACAAAAAGAGAAAAACCAAGCTGGTCAAGAAGACAGACGACAGAAAGGAATGGGGTACCATGATCGTCAATGTCTACTCCAGACCTGACACCTGAATAAGAAGTAGACTGAACAGACCACAAACATGCCCGTTACTGCTGTGTGTTTATACCCCGGCCTAAAGACGGAGACAGGCGATGGAAAGTTATCTTCGCCATGTGGAAATCGTTTGCGTTAAAGGAGAAGAACTTGACTGTAAACACATTAGAAGAACATGCTAAAAGCTTTAAGGATGTAAATGTTTCTCACATATCTCCTTTTTAGAATTTAGTTCCAGTCTAAGAGAATCACACTGAAGTAACAGCAGCCATTTATTGTTCTGGGAAAAAACATAGACAGACTGACAGAGACAAAAGAGTAACGAAACTGGACTTCAAGTAGTTTAGTAAACTGCTATTCTAACGTACCTATGGCATATCTATTTTAAGTTGTGAGGTGAAACCTCTGAATGTAACGTTCTTCCCTGTCAGGGCAGTGCCAACTGTGACAAGAGCCTTGGAACGCCCTAAACAACTAGAGTTCAAACCCTGCCCGTTGAAGAATCGAACCAAGGTGAACCGCAAAGTAGTAAAATATGATACCAACACAGCCCACGGACCGCCTAATGCAAGAGGCGCCCTTCAGTTAGCCGCTACGGAACCCTTGAATTTGAGTAAAGATAACAACATCAACATAATAATTACCAATTCACCTTGGGAACAGACAAGAGAGACAGACAAAAAAACAACAACAACAAAGGTAATAAAAGAAGAGAGTTAGGACCCGCCAGTGGCGCCCTCCAATCATCTGTACACGAACCCTCAACCACAACCGTCTCTCCCAACGTAGCACAGGAGACTTACCTACACGTGCCTGGATGATGCTTGTAGTAATGTAGATGTAAACCCATCATCTTGACAGTCGTACCCACAAAATACACAATGGCGGCTAAGAGGCCAACAAGCATGGCTTTCTTCAACATCTTTTAACAGCTGGAGAAGACTTGCTCACCACACCAGTCAGACGAAGAAATGAATAGAGGAACTTTTTAAAACAAATATTTAATTCTTGACACGGACCGAATAAAAAACCAACAACAGCTGGTGGGATAGGCGGCTTGTGATCATGGCAAAAAAACAAACACAACAACAACAAAGAAGCATTATACTCAGGGAAGGCGTGTTCAGCCACATGATCCCCTATCATGATTTTTACAACGTAATCAAATTGTCTCTCTTTACTATCATTTATCTACTGTATAGTTATCATCCTCTCTCACGGATAGCAAAAGCAAATATTCAGGTGGATATAACATATAACTGAATGTAACCGGGTCGGATACAATAACACTTTTCACATTCTTCAGGTAACTGAAATTAGAATACAATATTCGTTTTCGGTCATCTAACGATATTGTCAACAGGGTAGAATAGCAATATAACGCTAACGGCAATGACATTGACACCGGTTTTTTTGCCTACCTGGGAGACATTCTACCCTGCCCGTGTACAGAGGTATAACCTGTATTGATTTTTCAGAATTTCTCTCTCTCTCTCTCTCTCTCTCTCTCTCTCTCTTTCTCTCTCTCCTCTCGCTCTCTCTCTCTCTCTCTCTCTCTCTCTCTCTCT